CCATTTCTAAAACTCTGATGGGCAAAGGGACTTAACTGGTCACGGGCTGTGACTGCTATGGGCTCCAGCGTCACGTCCTGGGCAGTGGGGTCAGACCCGCTTGGTGGGCACAGATGAGAGCAGAGACCCCTGGTGGCCGCCCCCCACAGACACCAGGACGGGGGAGTCTCTTCTTGAACCAGCACCGGCTGCTCCCTGCTTCCTGGCATTTCACTTCTAGATCCTAAAGAGCGGTTATGCAAACATATTTTCTGTACTTAAATTCAAAAGCCAAGACAATTATCCACTGAAGGATTCCGGGTGGGAGCAAGGAATTCTAATCTGAATGCGTCCGCTCATCCAGCTCGGATTTCTACCTGCTTTCCCTTTAGAATCATTGGCATTCCAAGTCAGGGGGGGTGTTCAGGGCCACCGAAGGCCCCTTTGGATCAAAGCAAGTGTCTTTTATCCAGTATTCTGGATGGGGGCAGGACAGCGACTCCTGGAGCTAAAGAAATTTTAGGAAGAGTTCAGGAGATAGCCAACACGCCATTTTTTACTCTGCCAGTTCCAGCATGGGGCCAAGAGCTTTTTGGAGGATAACCCCTGAACCGAGTATGCCATCAAGGCAGCCCCTCCTCTGCTCCAAACCTAGCATGACTCCCCATTTCATGCTGGGTCACACCTGTGTGTCTCTGTCTTCTGCCCTGTCTCCTGCTACTCTCTCCATTGCTCACTCTGCTCCAACCTCACCTCTCCCTTAGAATTTCTCTGAACATACCCTCCTGGCCTTACCACTGGTGTTCCTCCTGCCTGGAGGGTCCTTCACCCAGAGAGATCCATGATCCATTCACTCTCTTCCTCCAAGTTTTGGAAGGAAAGCCACCTTGGTCTCAGCATCCACCCTGGTGTTCTCATTAGTAACCTCTCATACCACATCTGCACCCCCACACCCCTCTCCCTGTTACATTGCCCTAGTTTTTTAAAAAAAATCACTTTTACCTTCTACTACCCCAAGTATTACTTAGTTTTATTGTTTACCTCTGCCAGCAAGGCAAGCACACAGATAGAAAATTGTGTCCGTTTTCCAAAAAGGAATCCCTGGAGTCTAGAACGGTTCCTGGCACGTAGGAGGCCCTTGGGAACAATGAATGAAGGAACGGATTTTCCTCAAAAACTGTGTCTTGACGTCTGCTGTCACTCTCTCATGGCCACAGGCTTCTCATCTAGGTGTTGGTACTAGAAGCAGAGTCTTGAGAAAGGAGGCCAGACACTGGAGACCAGGAGACTTGGATCTGCATTTCAGAGCAGCCCCAGCCCCCTGAGTGCACAGAAAAGTTGCCATGTCTGTGGGAGCCTCAGATTTCTCACCTGAAAAGTGGGTGTCTTCTCCATACTGACATGTTATTGTAAGGAAGGACATATTGTTTATAAAGCACCAAGCAACCAGGAGAGGCTTAATGAATTTAACTGTTGTTTTGTAATGGCAACAGCTGGATAGAGCTATAGATGATGAATCATTAAATATGCAATAACCAAAATTATAGAGAAGACCATAGGCATATCTGAAATGAGTTTTTAAAATCTCTATAGCACTGGGTAACTTATATCTTGCCTATCATCCTTTATTTTTACCTTTTATGTCTATCAAGGCATTACTGTGAATGTTCTTGATAATGGAATATATACTGACATTATTCCTTTGGATAGCTGTGTGGTTTGCTCACCTTTTTGAGTCTCTTCAAACACGACCTATCAGAGGTATCTTCTTGACCCCATATAAAATAAGGGTTCATTCCTTTCTCCCCTTCATCACCTTTAATTCTCTCCATAGCATTTTTTACCAATGCACAGGGAGTGCTATAATTTTGTATTTTTTTTTTTTATTGTCTATGTCCCCATATGGTGAGGGAGAGATCTAGTCTATTTCGTTTATTGACATACACCCAGAGGTTACTCATACATATACATACTATGAATTGAAGTGACTGCTCCTCATTCAGCAGCTGCCCAGGAATATAGTCTGAAGATTTATATACTTGGCCTCCCCCTCACCCAGTGGTGTGTGCCGTGGGTAGGATGACCAAACATCACAGTGTGCCCAGGACACTCCAAATAGATGTCTGTCTCCTCTCACTCTCCAGAGCGTCCCAGTTCGCCAAATAAATGACACTGTCATGATAGTGATCAAGTCCAAAAGAATTAAGCACGACACATAATCCCTCATTAGAGGAACTTACGGACTTGATGAGAAGGGGAAAGAAATCACTATTGACAGCAGCTAATGGGAACTGAACTCTCCTTCTATGTCTAGGACTGTGTAATTACCTCTCTCAGTCACAACAACCTGTGACTTACCACCTTTTAATATGAGTAGCCTGACACTTAGGTTAAATAAATGTCTCCTCTTCCCACAACGAGTAAGAGGCAGCGTTGGGATTCAAATCCCAGCGGCAGACCTGTGCTCTGCCAAGTAAGCGTAGCAGGTGCCAAGGCGGGGCGTTTCCGAATGTGACATCCTTGTAGTCTGTGGCAATCCTGGAAGGTTAGTGGTCCCACTTCTTTAAATCTGTAAAATCGGCTTTGCTGCGTTCAATGGCAGAATTAGGCTTCTAAGTTAGAATGAGCATGTTGATGAGAAAATGGCAAACAGCCTGGTGGGAGCTAGTCGTCATCATGAGCTGAAGACATTGTACGTTCCTGGCTTCCATGATACTTGTCACTTCCTACTGTGTCACGAGGTGTATACCTCAGCAGTATAAACCAAATCACATTGCACTTACTCATAACCCCTGTGTCTTAAATTTTGGAAGAACATCTTACTTGATTCAGACATTAAATGAGTTTACTTGACAAAACAAGGGTAAATGAAAGCCTTGTTAATACATGTATTCGTTCATGTTTATTCCCTCCTGCAGATGTCGAGCTATGTTTGCCCTTAGATAAATTGTCCTTTTTATTTTTTTTATTTTTTAATTTTTTTAAAATATTTTATTTATTTATTCATGAGAGAGAGAGAGGCAGAGGGAGAAGCAGGCTGCAGAGTCTTGAGAAAGGAGGCCAGACACTGGAGACCAGTAGACTCGGATCTGCGTTTCAGAGCAGCCCCAGCCCCCTGAGTGCACAGAAAAGTTGTCATGTCTGTGAGCAGACATGTCAGTCTGTGTCTGAGCAGGGAGCCCGATGCGGGACTCGATCCCAGGACCCCGGGATCATGACCTGAGCTGAAGGCAGACGCTTAACCATCTGAGCACCCAGGCACCCTAAATTGTCCTTTTTAAACCGCTCTATGGTCTGTACTCCTCAGAGAAAAGGAATTCTGCAAGACTTCTTTGTCCCCCAACTCTGTAAAATAGGACCGTTGAGAAACTTTGTGAAATTTGTAAAGTCACCTTCCTTATGAATTAGGCTACTCAATTTGGACATAACAAACTATTTTCTTTCTTCTCTCTCAGGTCAATGTGATGTTCCTTTGTAACAATAAACACCTTTTTTTTTCTTTTTTTGGTAAAGCAGAAGGTGATTTGGCCTTCTTTTGAGAAGTCCAGATCAAGACATGGATGACTTGGGGAAAATGCTCCAGTTTTTGGTGCGTGTAACTGTACTTTATTAACCCCGAAAAACAGATGCATTTTAAGAGAAAACAAGCTCTTGGTAAGGTGCTGTTTTTAGCTCAGTAACTAATGATGAATCAAAATGTTTCTTCAAACCCAATTACCCAATAAAAATTGCCATAGTAACCATCACATTACACAACACATCCTCATGCTCACACCACAAACTTCTTTAGGAACTGCCGCCACCACCTTCTTGACACCACCATCTGCTATGTAGTGAGAAGGAGAGATGGGGGAACGGTCTAAGGAGGGAAAGGTAATTCTGATTTGCGCAAATCATTGCAGGGAAAGGGGGTCTTGGGGCAGAGACATACTGGTAGAAAGATCCTTTTCTGTGGAAGTCTGGTGGTTTTCACCATGATCTAGGAGTGGCTCAACCCAAGAGCATCAGAGGAAATAAGATTAGACCTTAAATAAGGGTCCCCCTCCCCCCCATCACTGTGTCTGCAATAGGTGTTCCCTGGTTCTTTCCTTGGCTGACTCTTCCTCATTCCTCAAGTTTCATGGAAATATTTCATCCCCAGAGAGGTTTTCCCTGCACCACTTGATCTAAATTAAGGTCTCTGCAGGATGCCTCCTAGGGAAGGGACATTAGTTATCTCATTTGCCACCGGAATCTAAAGCAGTGCCTAGATCCTACTTGGGACTCAGGAAATAGCTATAAAAGGAACGCAGAAAGGGGAAACCACCTACGAGACAGGCATTATCATCATTTATCTGATGGTCTGGATGGTATTCATTGGTTAGATCACCCATTCCACAAATGCTAGAGGCTGACAACATTAGGAAGGGCAATGAACGCTTTCTGGCTGTTACAGGTTCGATTCTCCGAGAAACAGACTCTGGGAGGGAGGTTAGTGGGTAAGAAGTTTATTAGGGGATGCTATTGGGATCAGCACCCATGGACAGGAAGACGTGGAGGCAGAAGTAGGCAAAGGGACAAGTTGAGCTGTGATGGGGTTTCCACAGAGACCTGTTGCTGCGGTGGGGGGTTCTGAGGCTGGGATGGTCTTTCTGAGATCTCAGAGTTGGAATTATGAGTGTATTCCAGGTGTCCTCCCGGTTGATCAGTCCTGAGCATGACCTTGGTGAGAAGGTCCCCTTCAACTAGGTGATCTCCCAAGGAGGTGGACAGCTGAGGGCTGTCTGTCCGCAGTAACCATGGGAAGATGCATCCTCCATTCCCGAGGGGGATCTGGTCCTACCACAGTCTACCCCTTGTGCCTCTAGGACTTACTTCACCACTGAAGTTCTGAGAGCCGTTCCATGATCCTGGGGGGCCTTTCTTCTTGGGGAAACCTAGAGGAGGACAGCTAATGGGATAAATTGTAGTCCCTACTGCTGCAGCTTGTCTCGGGACCCCTACTGATGTATGTTGTCTCCCTCCTTTCTGCTTTGTTCTAGATTCTCCTCTCCCTCAGCTAGTACCTCTGCTGGTCTTGGTCATTTACCTGATGGCATCATGCAGATTCTAACCATGCCTTTCTCAGGCCAGGTCGTAACTCCTACCTGGATGGTGACTCTCCTGTCTAATGGCCACTTGGCATGAGGAGCCCAACATGCCATATGTTATAATTCATTGGGACTCTTGCTGCATCACCTGGTGGACGTGCTCCGCCTGAGGAAAGCTGGAACTCTAAAGCTATAGAACCCAAGGTTCAGGCTCTGTAATCACAGGTTTCCCAGTTGGGTTACCAGGAGTGATGGCAACCAAGGCCACTCCTGCTTCTGGAAACACCCCTTGCTTCCCAGACTCAAGCATCCTTCCTATTGGGCATAGCACCATATAGGGCCTTTGATGGAAAGTGGCCACTGCATCCTAGAGGGTGGCATCCCATCCTTGGAGGGTGTTGACTACAAGATGGCACCAGGGAGCTCCCTTGTTCTCTCATGGGATCAGCTTCTGGGAGTGGGTAAATGATGTAGCCACTGGGCCCTGCAGCCTAGTGCCCCGTCCTGTCCCATACCCCTTCTGCCATAAGGGAGGTCCCTTGGTTTGACACGAGACCCCTGGAGCAGGACTCTCCCACACACATCTGTCCCCAAAGCTCTAGCGGAACCACCCCAGGCTCACACTGTCTCCTCCATTTCTAGTTTAAACCTAACCCGGGAAGAATAAACACTTGAGAGCAGCTAAAGCCGAATTCCCGGCTCTTCCCTGCCCTGGGTGTCAGGAGCAAAGGGAGAATGTGGTAAAGGTGGCAGTTTCCTCAGTGACCTGCTGGCAACCTGACCCGGGAGGGTCTCAACCGGCACGGGAGCAATTCACCTGAGTCTCCGCCAGGCAGGCCCTTTGCCTCCTTCCAGCCGCATCCATAAAGCACTTCTGATGTGCTGCTTGACAGGCCCCAGGTAAGGAGGGAAGAGAATTGAATCGGCGCCCACTTGGGTCTTCAAACCATAGCTGATTTGCCTGCCAGTGCATATTTATAGACCTCATTTCCTACACAGTGTTGCATATGCCTTGCATGAGGAGCCATTCCAGAAAGTACTCCTGGTTCTCTTCTGACCGCCAACAGCGCGTGGGTCATGAATTCATTTTTTCATTCTAAAAACATTTATGATGCCCCCGCCGTCACTAACTACTCTGCCAGGGGTTGTGTGAATCAAGATGTTGGCTTTTCCTGCAGCTGCTTCTTTGGTTAACGCCTCCGTTTCTCTGTAACGTGTTGTAATGGGCCCCATCGCTGCTTGTGTGGACCCTACGCCATACTGGAATCACAGCTTACACTGGGGTAAGGTTTGAAGGCTAACAACTTAGTCAGAAATCCTGCTGTAAAAAAAAAAAAGAAAGAAAAAAATCCCTGAAATGCCAGAAGAGTCAGGAAATGGATGTATCCTCTCTGGAACCCAAAACAACCAGGTTCTCCCCTGGTATGAGTGAGCTCCAAGCGAAGCAGTTGGTTTGTGTTCAGGGACCACGCTGTGTGAAAAAGATGGAACTTTAAGCCTCGTACATACCCAGTCCAGTCAGGTGGGCACGTTGCTGGAGGCCAAAGGTGTGAAACAGACTGTAGAGACTCATCACCTCATGCCAGGTCATGAGTGCTCACGAGCGGACAGCATTCTCAAGCCATTTAGAGTGCTTTATCCTTTGATTTCTGTCCCCTTCTCCTCCTCTCCTTCTCTCTCCCTCCCTCCCTCTTCCTCACCCCCAACCTGTAACAAATACATAAAAACTAAATACACATACGTGAAAATTCCACTGTTCTAATTTGTCACCTTGTGGAACTCAGGGTCAAATAGAGAACCTTCCCCCAGTGCTCCATGTACATTGGACAAAACTCTTCCAGACCTGGCTCTTGGTTTTCCTTATAAAATGCCAGCTAAGTGGATATTGTGCCTACGCCCCTAGAAGAAGCATCTCTTCCCATCACAAAAGCCATTAGCAGTGATGCTCATAACAATTCCTTGACGCCATCTCTAGCTGGGATGCTCAAGGAAGTATTGCAGACTCCTGAAATAAAGAGGGCCAAGTGTTCTGCAGTTGAGGATTAGATGTAGTGAGATGGAATGCATTTTGGCATCAGACATACTCCCAGCTCCCCTGTCAAATGTCGGCTTTGGGAGTAGGAGGGGTGTCTAAGACTCTGTTTCCTTATTTGTATAAAATGGTAAAAGTTCTACTTTGCAGGATTGACATGAAGATTTATTTATTTACTTGAGAGTGAGAGAGCATGAGCAGCAGGAGAGGTGGAGTGAGAGGGAGAGAGAACCTCAACCAGACTCACACTGAGCGCGGAGCCCGACATGGGGCTCGATCTCATGACCCTGAGATCATGACCTGAGCCGAAACCAAGAGTCAGACGCTTAACCGCCTGCGCCACCCAGGCACCTCTAAGATGAAGATTTAATGAACTAATTGACCCTGTCACATGTAGTGGATGCTTCCCCTGCTCCCACCCCCCATAGCCGGCCACTCCAAGCTTACAGTCCTACCCTCCGGCAATGTTCGACACTTTTCAGCTTCCCAAATGGTCTCTGCTTATTCTTGCCACCAGGCCCTTCCACATATTGCTGCTTCAATACCCCTTTTCCCGCTCTTGACTTGTCCAACTCCTCTGCATTATTCAAGCTTCAACTTAAATGTCGCCTCCTCCAGAGAGCCTTCCTGGATCCCCTACCCTCTATTAGACTCCACTGTTATGCACTGTCTTTACAGCATACTGTTGTTAGTGCTTAAATGAGCAGGCTCTGAAGTCTGACTGGCTGGATTCCAAGCCTGGCCCTTCCACTTATGGAAGGGTGACTGGAAGTGAGCTCCTTAATTTCCCTTTGTCTCAGTTTCTTCATCTGTAAGTAGGGATTGGGCAGCCGTGCAACCTTGCTTTCCCCTGGGGGTGGGGGGTGACGTTCATGCCTCTGATCCCAGAATCATTGAATGACCCCCTTCACTGTCAAAATAGTTTTATTTGAATATTTAATTGAATATTTAAATATTTAATTTATTTGAAATTAATAATGATTACTATTATTAGGTGACCCACTTCATTGGATTACCGTGTGAATTAAATGAGTTGGTATAGGTACAATGTTTAAAGCAGTGCCTATCAAAAGTTGACAAGGCAAGAAACGACAAATGTTGGAGAGGTTGTGGAGAAAGGGGAACCCTCTTACACTGTTGGTGGGAATGCAAGTTGGTACAGCCACTTTGGAAAACAGTGTGGAGGTGC